TAACACCGTAAAATGCAGTGCGAACCGGTGGACGATCCGGGAATGCTTATCATAGACTCATTCTGGTGCATTTTGCGACTGGGACGACACGATACTTGTCTTGTAGTAGTTGTTTATCGTCCTGAAATGGTTACCTCAGCGATAGAATCTCACCTGACATTTGTCTTGGGAAGGATATTGCGACCAATTTATAGTCAACTTCTCATTTCAGGTTACTTCAATGTACACGACCTGCAAGTTCCAGCACCCTCAGTGAGCAATACAACTTCGATCTGCAAAAGTTCGTTCCTTGCATTCCGCTCTTCAGCTATGTTAGTTCGTCCACCATCCTCACGAACGAAGAGCTTGTGGTCGAAAAGTCAGAGATAGAGTCCTGTAGGGCTGACTGATCACGCCAACATGTTTTATAAATATGTATGGCATGCAGAGTATCCGCGGGAACACGTTGACTTGTTCTGCACAATCAGACACTGCAACATGCAAACATAACTTCATACTAAAGTTTTTGGAGGACTGTTTCATTGTTAGTGTATGGATGGAGTTTGTTAATGAGTTTGTGGTTTGAACACTTCTCCCATCAGAAAACTGTTCATTTTGAAAGTGCATCATCGTTCACTGAGAGCAGAACCCAAAAATACATGGTGGTAAGAGACATAGCATGGCGTGCATTTAGAAGAAATCTTAGTCCTGACGACTGGAGCAAATATGTCGTGCAGCGTATTCACTCTACCACAGTTGTCCGTGATGACACATTAGTGCACCAACAGAGCCAAACAGAAACGGTTTATTCTAACAACAAACTTATGTACAAATATGTAAACAGCCTTCGGAAAGCGAAACGTCATTTGCCGCCACTCATCACAGCAAATGGAGGCGATTAAACCACTGGGGATGTGACTAACAATTTAAGGCTATTACTTGCTCTAATCTTTTGAGGTAGCACCAGCACGTGTCAGATACCAGACATATGCTCCCAGGCACCAGTAGTTAATTACGTCACTTTTAAACCTACGACTATTTTGTGGGGGAGACCTTCCTGGAGCACCCACAATCCCTAGGGCTTGCCAACGTACATCCAAAAGCGCTCAAATGAGCACCTGTGAGGCTTGGTCATTTGTGATCTTGATTTATTCAAAGTGCTTGGATGAGCAGCGAGTCCGCAACATGTGGAAGCAAGGTATCATATCTTCGATTTTTAAGGGTGGTGGCTATACGGAGTCTGCCACCCATCCCCTAGTGAAAGTTTTTTCAGTGCATCAAAGCTGATGGGGTCAATCATCGCTGAGGCAATAAGGGGTTATTTATAATGATCTAACGTCATAACACCGGAGCGGCATAGCTTTTGTCAAAGTCGGTCACTATCTACCAACCTACTGATTGCGCTTGCGCACTCGAATCAAGAGAGCAGATACGAGGACCATTACGTGTACTATCCATTTAGACTATACCAAGGTCTTTGGCCGTTTAAATCACTGCACTCTTCTGCGTAAGCTGCGAAAATGCGGAAATGCCTACCTAAGCGGTGACTTCGTATTTGCTTTCAAGGGTCCTTGTTTGGTTTTCCTGAATAAGAATGCTATATACTACAAGAATCATTTCTGAGGCCACGCTTATTTTAAGTCTTCAGTACAGACCACATGCATGTCTTGGAGTTAAGTTTTTGCCTCTTAGCGATTACATCAAGCTACAGCGGAGGGTCCGTAAACAAGAAGAACTGCGTCTTTTGTAATAAGGCCTAGACCATGCTTTTTAATGGTCAAAGACAAATCTACCCTCGTTCAATGCGGACAAGCATAAAATTGTGCATATAAGCCACAAGCCTAGTACACACATAAGCTCAGAGACAATAGATTGAAGACCGTCTTACAGTAGCGTACACTTCAGTGGATGATGCGAGATGGCCTAGGTTGTTCGGAGCAATCCGTTGTGTCCAAAACCAGGAATCACCCTGCTGGTCTCCTAAGGAGGGCGTTCGGGTGGCTCGACCCATCCATCTTCCCGCAAATCCAAAATGGGTATATGAGGCCCCAAGCCCGGCAAGCCTTGCTAAAATGCAACCTGAATGCACCAGAGACCATACATTGAAGGTCAAGCATCAAGTGAAGTGCTTCTTCTACCTGCCATAGTAACTGAGACTGAAACCTCTAGGAGCGTGCAGCAGAATTTATTGTTGTCTACGGGGCGAACTCGTTCTGACCAAGTCTTGAAAAACCCCGTTTCACGCTTGCCGCCACCGGAAACTTAGTCGCAACATAAACCTGATTGGCTGCAAACTATAACTCGCGGCTCAATACATCCGGCTAGAATGCCTCAGTAATACTTTTTCTTTTAATTATCGGCCGTGGAACGCTATTCCAGTATTTATCATTTGTAGGCCAAATTCAGTTACGATGCATCATGCTATTTGAATTCCGCTTATCGAGTGACGACAGGATGTAATGTACTCACCAACCGCTTAGGAAATCGGTGTGCACGGATATACATGTGTGGCAACGTGAATAACATGCTGAGTTCAAAGCTGCGCGTCTTACTTTACTGTCAAACGTTCTGAATTTATGAGTTACACCATTCATCCAACGGGACTTGTCAAGCCTTGCTTATATTTATCCGTATTATTAAACTTTAACACATGAAAGCAGTAATCTGGAATGCATTTTATTGAGATAACTATATCAAAAATCAAGTCCACATGCTTCAAAATTATTCTTCACAAAATGCCTTAGCTATAATACCTTGTCAGTCTGTTCGGTCTAATGCGCTTCTCTTTCCACAACCAAGCTTTTAATAGGCTTCTGCCTTAGCAGTTTATTGATGCTCTTATTTTTGACTGCTTGTGTAGGCTCTATTTTTCTACTACTTTCAACGGACCATTGTAATTAGTATAGCGGATACTTGTGCCCATCAAATACCGGCATATCTTTTCTGATTGGAACGCGCAGTGGTCACTTTGCTAAACGCCACGCTACATCACATCAGCATGAATTGCTGCGGTAGTTTTTTTACGTATCAAAGCAATTATCAATACACACTTCGCTGATAATTGAATTTTTATCAAGAGCTGATCCCATAGGAAGTTAACGCCGATGAAATGAATGAGTTTCATTATTATTTGCGTTGCCTCCGCAGTCTGTGTTTCAGATAGTTGAAAAGTTGCGAACGCTGAGAGTTGGTGGGGTTTGGACCTCCACAACTCCGTTTTTTCACCCATCGGCGTCATTGTGTTATCGCTTGACATTGTTTCTGTCCACGCGCAGGTAACCCGTGATACTCGTGTTGGCACCTACGTTTCGTAACTGCTTGTCGTTTTAGTGAAAGTCGAACTTAAAATCTCATGCAGCGAACTATATTTGGCTTTATATCCACAGTATACTTTGATTACATTGCAGTCCAGTTCGATATCTGTAAAAATCCTGGATTAAATACCATGCTCGCTGCATCGTCGTTATAGGGATGATGCACGCCATATATTCCTTACCAACCTTTTTGTGTCGGGGTGGAACTACTTAAGTACAGAGTTAGGTAGAAATTCGTCACTTTTAGACTCACTCAGACAGATATATTGACCATTTTTGAAGTGTTAAGTGTAGCCGTTACATGAAGATAGTGCCTTAGCTGCTTGTTATTTATGACTGAGAGTAAAGTGCTGAAGCACCAGTAAGCGCGTAAGTACATAATGCCGCACCAATCATTAGAGTAACCTGAACCTCATAAACGCACGAAAGATCTTTGGTTAAACAGTTTCGGATCTGCATTACTCCGCAAGCATTAGACTGAAGCACACGGAGAAAGGTGTAACTGACATCCCAAAATAGTTTTACTCATCTTGTACTGAAGCATCTTGATCACTTTTACGCTATCTTTACCAGATTTGATGAAAGATTCACCTCAGATATTTGCGTTATCCTTAGCTGATTCAACTGCCATTGGCCAACTGTCATTTTGTCGATTTTGTGGATCCAGTGTTGGATAAAACGAAGCTGACAACATTAGGAACTGCCCCCAACCATGTGCAGGCACTAATTACATGACGATAAAATTAATTACCTTGTCAGGCCGTCACATTGAGGTGGAGAGCAAATGTAGGCTGAAATTAGATTTGCTATCTATTATGCCACGCTATGTGAATTTCGTTCCGTTAGTCCGAACCAAATTCGAGAAATTTCTGCCTTTAACGTTACGTCTCTGCTCTGATTGAGGCGGCACATTGTACGAATATGATCCTGCGTCACAGGTTTGTATTGCTTTATGACGCAAATAAAACACGATATAACAAAAGTCTAGTTAACGGTATGTATGCTAAAAGGCAACTAACCACTCGATACATCATTGTCCCTTCTCCTCGTATGTATCATTTAAGCTAAAGCATTGGTCAAATTTACCATCATCTCAATAAAAATCATCGTTACATTGAAAGCCTCAGAGCACGCAGCTATGAATGCAGATGGTTAAGAAATATAAGTGATGGAAATCTTAGTTAGTTTCTCATCGTTTATAAAATGGTAAAAGTCTGCAACTGCCCTGTCTAGGAAGGCAATAGCTGTTACGGTTTCCCCTTGTTCATCGAAGGCCGAAAGATCAGTGCTGGTCCGGTGCTCTTTGCATAGTTCTTAGAGTCTACCAACTCGATCACCAAAGGCATGGAAATTTGACACAAGACCAAAATTCTCATGGAGAACAAGCCCAGGTGTTAGGATTTGTCACTGGTTTGAGACTACTTCATACAAAGGTCGTTAGAACTGATTACATTACTTTGACGAAGTTTTCAGGTAATAGCAAATAGCAAATTCATATTTAACGTTTTTCTCAGATAAAACATAATTTCGAGACTGCTAGGGATTCCCGCAGCTTCTATTTCGATAACTGCTTTATTGTTCAACCGGTGCTTCGCAAGCCTGAATATAGCCAAAATTCCCAAATGTTCGTATCTGTGTAATACATCAACTGTAGGATTAACAGCGTGGTGATTTGCTAACCGTTTGCTGTGCACCAATCCAACTCACTCTGTTTGAACTGCAGTTTTGGCACGCGCTTCCTGTATGGATTGAAAGAAACAAGCATTCCAAAATCGCAGCGACTGCCAGATGGGCCTGTTCTTGATTAGCGTAAACAAAACCTCACCATCCGGTGAGCCTGGATAATCTAAAACATTAAAAAATACGGAGCATTCGTAAAGTCGGTTACAATCTAAAGGAATCAGCACACAGAAACCCAATAGAGTCAACTTTCGAAACCTATGGTTCACCGTTTATCTGGATCCAAACTGCAAACATGCAACGCTTGCATTTTGTGATCACCTTAGACTGGAATACATCACAACTAGTTCCGTCGATTACTTACAGGAAAGCTAGGCAATTTGATCAGTTTATCAGATGATGTCCAGGATAAGAATCCACCTGTACTTTAGCTATGCCTTGCACTGATGTGTGAAGAACGCGTCTAGAAATGCGCCTGTGTTTAAAGTATGCACATTCTTACTTATGGAACCAGAAATCACTGCTTATGAAACCGATACTTAAAATAGTGCATCAGGTTATAATGAAAACGGTATCACCTCAACTCTCAATTCTTTAATTTTTACGCAAAACAAATCAAACTCTTCATATGACCACTGCTTCAATCTGCCATTCCCATTTCGAATATTTTATCCCTGGCTATTTTGCACTCCGTTAGTATCATGCCGGCCATTCTGCTGCTATGCCTTGCTGATGCAGAAATGTAACACCAAACATCTGACATCCAGAAGCTTTCGGTGCTTAATGCCCTGCCATTCACACACACAGGCAGTGTTTTTACCTTCAGTCTACCTGTCAAGATACTTCTCTTTTGTTTGCCTGTTCTCTATCTAGTGGTCCATCTGCGTATTTGCTATTTAACTTTCTCTACCTAAGTCATATTTTCAACCACGACATCTTTGTTCGTCGCAATCAGCCGACAATTCGGATAAGTCCACTACCTATCCGGAAAAGCACCAGACGGCCGTTTCGCCCTATTGGGGCTCGTCAGTGGTGCGCATCCTTCGGTCCTCTACGGAGGATCGAACCCATGACTGCTAGTGGCTTGTGCCAACTAGCCCGTTGCGTTATGCAACTGAGCCATGGAGGACCGAAGGATGCGCACCACTGACGAGCCCCAATAGGGCGAAACGGCCGTCTGGTGCTTTTCCGGATAGGTAGTGGACTTATCCGAATTGTCGGCTGATTGCGACGAACAAAGATGTCGTGTTTGAAAATATGACTTAGGTAGAGAAAGTTAAATAGCAAATACGCAGATGGACCACGAGATAGAGAACAGACAAACAAAAGAGAAATATGAAATGAAGGTAGTTCAGATCACTTAACGATTAAGATACCTCTTGCCATTTATAGAAAGACCAACCACCCGAATAGTATACGCTGTAATGTGAGAAGACTCAGGTGGAGGCAACACAACTGACAAAACGTTGACCGATTTCTTGAAATGGTTGCATTGACAAACGGACTTATTTTTCGGATGTGATGAACCTTAGTATTGTGTCAAATAGGCGAACTAACGAATTTCCTTACTTGACATCCGCTGTCATTGGGAGAATAGCAAAGTGCCATTAGAAGGCTCCTCCTGCTCGTTCTTTAAGCCGCAGCGTAGACTTAAAGAGAATGCTCGTAGGAAATTACGATGGCAGCCCGGTTAACTTTTTCACTGTCCACATAAAGCAGACGCCACACCGTCTCAACCAGTTATCTATTCAGACTTTTCCGATGAACGATAACTGTCCTTAACTCTGGAAGAGGCTTAATTGCTATACGGAGTTGCTCAAGCCAGACCCATTCTGACCCTGACGTTGGGAAAGCGAACAAAAATCCCGTCACTGCGGCACAAAGACAATCCCCGATCCCTTGTTTCCTGTCGACAGCGTGATATTTATGAATTACTAAGCAGCTACGTACTACGGAAAGATTATCGCCATTTTAAAGGAATATACTGATGTTTCGGCCTGCGATCTAGGAGTGATGGTATACGATGACCCATACTGTTCACGCTAGGCCGAGAAAGTACCCTGCAAAAGTAACCAAAATATTGAATCATTACGGAAGACGTCTAGATGGTTTGATCATTTCATATCTCGAATACATTACGCTTGCAGTATGGTGCATACGGAATGAGGTATCAATGTATCGCATCCCTGGCATATGCACGACCATACCGCCATTGAAATACCACAATAGAGGGCGAAGAAGGATGTGAATGGTATGTTTCAATTCCTTTATCAAATTAGGCTTAAAACCCTCGGAGCCTATATTGTAAAATATCAATGCCTGCATGGCGATTTGATAATAAGGTGCTGAGGAATCTCAATAATTCTTGTAGTCACCTTTTGAAACCGATTTACAAAACTACTCGGATAGACTGCCAGCTATACCTGACTAAACAGTATAGCCGGTTAGAATGCCACTGGATATTTTTCACTTCGTGTTTGGCCGGAGTTGGAAGCAATTCCCATATAACATGCTTCTTCCACACATAACCGCTGCTCCGAAACGTCTAAATGATACGCTTACGCTGTTTAGATTATAAAATCCTTTATGGCATAACGTCATCGTAACTCGACCAAACATTGTGCGCAATTCGGCTTCCTGCGTTTTGGTACGTAAACAATACTAGTGGGGAACATCGTTAAGATGTACTCAAGCAGGACTTACGTATCACATCGAAACAAAGAACTAGTACACAGTTGGACACCTTTCTTTTTGATTTTTTCTGATATATATCAACTCTAACTGCTACCATATTGTTTTATGTGTTTACGCTCAATTCCAATTCAAAATAGCATTATGTAATAACAATTCTAAACCAGTACGCATTCCAACAGATGGTTCACTTCTCTTTTAATTTTTTACTTTTCAGTTACATTTGTCAATTATCTGCTTTTTCACCGTACATTTTACCTCCTTGTTTCTTTGTATGTAATGTGTATGAAGCAATAGAAACGATCTGTTTGCTAGAGCACTGCTATTAATACACGAATGCCCAGAAATAGGTTCAGCAGAAAGTCGAACCGTTAGTTGCTTTTTGGCGGTTTTGAAAGAACTGGTGAAAAACATCCTTGTAAGAATGGTGTCGCAGACGAGCTCAAATAATCCACTTCAGTTTTCCTGCCGCAGTTCGTGGTCTAGCCTAGTCGCAGTGACCTGTCTCGTAAATTCTGTTGGACAACAGAAACAAGTCCGTTCAATTTAACTTTCATTTGGCTCTACTAACTGCAAATTAGTGTAAAATGAACTTGCTCCTTAAGAAACTTCTTTCATACATCGTGAAATTGTTGAGTGTTCATTTTGCTAGACTCAATAAGATGGCGCGTCTTAGTGTTAGGTGTTCTTTCCCCTACACACTAAATCTGGTATTCTTCAGGAAGCAGTTCGTTCACCACCTCTCTTTCTAACTAATCTTTGCTGAAAATCATTTTAATAAATATTTAACCCACTAGAGCATTCAGATGTCACACTTTCGTATAGAAATTACCAGACCACTGCTTACTCATTCAGACCGCAAGCTATTCTGGACGATCCTGCTGTATGGTTCGAAGGTCATAACCTATGCTTAATGCACCATGTTTTTGTGCGCAACTTTCGATGCACAGAAGTGCTTAGTATAAACAACACCACACCATGTGCTACAGTCATCATAATGAAAGTATGGGTCTGAACTCCTGCATCAATGAAATACATTGTTGTGATACTGAACTATTATTCATGTTGGCGATTGCATATAAATGAAATATTCGCAAAATTCAAAAGGAAGTCGCTCCACATACTACAGCTAACACTTTGTCTCTCCTGAGTTGATAGTTTGTTTTGTTAACAGCAGAGTTCTATCCAACTGGACTTACTGCTCTCTCGTGATAATTGCTAGTCTACCAGATGAAGTGGATTTTCAATGTCTATCATCGTTAATCTAATTTTGTTCACATATGTCAATTCTTGCAAATCGCTGACGTCAAAGATAGCTGTTAACCCAAGCAACTTCATTCACAAAGCATTATCTGCGTGATTTCAGCCTAGTTTATCATGCAAAGTATAAGTTGACATATCTTGTCAAGCGAGCTTACCGCTTATTTTTTTATCCCAGATACATCGCATTTTATTGTTAGACCCTGAATCTGCCCTCCAAGAACTCATAGGACGATTCACAACAAGCTGTTGTCATGGTTTTTTTATCTAATCACTTTTGTTTTCTAACACGTTCGTATTTCCTGCTTCTTTTGGTACATTATCGACGGAGTGTGTTGTACTGATGGAGTTCCATCATCCTTGGTGCATAAATCAGATTCTTGACCTGAGTTGGGTTTACTTTATCGGCCGATGGCGAATCGAGCAAACCAGGCGCTCCAACCTGATGTCAGACGACCACCTCATCGTTACTTATTGGGCTCTCTGACTATAAAAGAGCAACACTACAAAAACAGATGTCGTCCCACACCGACTTCGGCGCGTGTTGACCATGTCCTTGATCCTCGCACTCACACACTAAGGTATCTCAAAACCTTCCATTAACCATTAAGCTTACATTCGCTGTCTCAATACAAGAGGCCTTAAGAAGGCATACGAGTTCCGCAGCTGGAAGAGGTTATATTTATTGTGCTGCGGTCAAGGTCGTTGGTGAGCCAACTAATTACTTGAACTGATCAACCATGTGAAGCCGCTTTCCATGCTTTCTAAGTAGCATTTAACCAAATGCGTTGATTAGCCATATTAAAGGCGCCCAATAATGATGGGCTCTATTTGCAAATGAAAACAAGTCGAGAATTTGTCCCAGAGTGGAATATTTGCTTTGGTTTAATTACGACCAAGCTCTTGGAGATGAAATCTAGTAAATAATCAACTACCACCCAAACCGATTGCGTGGATGAATATGCGTATACATTATTATTAGTAGTAGTAGTAGTAACGGTAGTAGTAGTATTGTCAGCAGTCTATCAACTAGACACAAAGCTAAGAGAAAATCATGGAGATCAGCGGATGAGGGATAATCGTCGCGCCATAATCATCGTCGCATAATAGTTGAAGGTGAGCAACGCACCTCAGCTTATATGAGAAGCCTCTCACCATTGTTAGAGCGATTCTCATCAAGCGCTTGCTGACCACCAAGGTAGCGTTCTTATGGTAACAGGCGGCCTACCCTGCATTAAAATCCCCAGCAAGGATAACAAATCCAACTTTTTAGCGTTAGTCAGGAGCTTATGTAGATCCCGGTAGAATTGGTTCTTGACCGAGTCGCTACTGCCTTCAGTTGGAGTGTACACGGAGATCACAAACAAGTTGCGGCTCTCTTCGCGGTGCTTGTTGACTTTACATGAACCCAGAAGCCGAACTGCACGTAGTCGCCTGTTAATCGAGAACCAGTCCAGTAGTGCCGCCTCGGCCTAGGTCATTAATGCTATACTTAGACCAGCCAAACCCGCTGGGGCTACTTCTGGATCTCCAGAAAGACGCAGGTGATATCTGGCTTCGTGGTAACTAGGGGATGTCAATGTAAGCATGGTGCTGGGTTTCTGAAAGGTAGTAGGCTTCAATTTCTAAGGCCTCTACGGTGCGCCCTAGACCGGCTGGTTGTCCAATCTGCATGAGCGTCCGAACCTTGAAGAGCGCCAAACCGAAGGAAGATCGGGGATGAAGGAGAGCCATAGGTTGAACTAATTGATCCGCGGCGCAATCGGAATCGCAGCCAGATTGTTGAACACATTAATCGGGTAACGGAAAGTGAGGATGGTTAGCAAACAAACAATTGGCGTGCGATGAAATCGTGTGAATATGAGAAGCAGAAACAGTATCTGATGAGCACCTTGTAGTGCAAGCCATGGTATTTTGAGTGAGCGTGATACTACCCGGTTGCCCAAACCGAAGTACGGAGTTGACTTAGGGGAATCCACCCCGAGCCTTCGGCTAAATAACCTACCCGCAAGGTAACAAGACGAATTTAGAGCATCGCACCCATTGGAAGGCGCTAACAGTGTTCAGTTCATGCGTCTTTGTTGGGTAGATCACCAAACAGGGACCCAATACTCCCCATGAAATCAACACAATTGTTGGAATACAATGCCCCACCGAGGTAGAACATTGTCGCCGAACACTTTGTTGGAACGGGGTACATCCGAACCACTCAACTGGCACCAGGTGGACGTAGTTCGGCAAACCAGCCTGCATCTAAATTAGTCCGCAATAAATCTGGATTCTTACGAAAAGGAGGCGAAAGCAGGAGCATTACCTAAGGTATTGGATAAGATGAAACCGTTTGGCTCCTTGTATAATGTTTGAAGAATAATACTTGCGAAGGGAACTCTTTTCGGCAATTTACTTCGGGCAATTACGAGACAGATGAGCGTGACAGGTAAGCAAACGCTGGGGATATGTTTGGTTGCCTCAACGAAGTGGACCAATACTTCACTCGATTCAGTCAAACGTCATGGGTCGCGCGAACACGCGCGAAGGCGCACACACGCACATAGCGCAGACTCTTTGGCCGGCAGATCTACAATTGTCACTCTCTGTCGTAAGCGCCGTCCGACATTACGGCCACGGCAACAGTATAGATTGTATCACTGTTCTCCGTTTGCACATATCCGGCTGAAGTATTCTGATTGCAATGGCTTCAGCGGTGGCCAACAAGCGCTTTCTGCTTCCTTTGCGGTTGCACCTCGGTGCCGTGTAGACTACTATGAATACGTCATCAGTCCGAATCTGATGCCCGGTACTAAGCAGATGTTCGAAGATCGAGTTGCGGACTTTCTTAACTATACCATGTTGCAAGGAGGCAGGGTAGTGCTCCGCTATCCGACTAAATGGATGCCTGGTCGTTTGCCCGAGATACCTTGCACCACAGATGTAGGTGAATTGGGATAGAACAAAAGGTTCGAAACGAGCCAGGATTATATCTTTGAGCCTTTGGATGATGAGCGGAACAGCTTCATCAAATATATGAAATTTAGCGGCCGGATATGTTTTGCTCCCCGCCAGTGGTAGTCTCATGCTAAGCAAGTCGTAAACCTTATCTCCTTTGAAAGGAACTGAGAGGTAAACAACCTTCTTTCTTGCCTTTGGTATCACGTTACTTTGGTCTGAAGCAGCGGAGTGCTTTTCGCTAAACGTCGCGGGATACCGGTTGCTCTTCAGCGCCGTTAGAACAAACTCCCTTTCTGCTTCTAGCGTTCCTGGACGGCTGATACTTACGGCCCCATAGTACAGACAAGACAAGAGGATTCCATAGTATTTAATAGGTACAAGACTAAAGGCGTGCGTGTACTGACCAATCCCGGTTGTTTTACGGAGGATTCTTCTCTTAACTGAGCCATCGGTTCGACGTCGTAACAAAACCTTTAAAAACGGAAGTTCACCGTCATACTCCAGCTCGAAAGTGAATTATACTGATAGATGTGCGTGGTTAAACTAGTCCCATAACTGAGCGGGATCGACGTTGGTATCACACACGATGAACGTGTTATGAATAGACCGCCGACAGAGATGAACGGAATTGTTATAGTGCCGGATAGGGACCCAGTCGTCATCTGAAAACATGCGACTAAGTAGGCTTGAGTAGCGCAGCTAACATAAGATTGTCTGATGGTACCTTTTACATGTGACTACCACAAGAAGTGGATTTTACCCACTCAGGTTTTAAGACATTATGACGCCGTACAACATTTTTAAAGCGAAAAAGTCATATATGGGGATTACCTTCAACTTTGTACAGTAGTGAGGTTGTTAGGAGTTTCTTCGCAGGAGAGAAATCTTCAGCGTTTTGGCATTCCACTAAAAGATAGTCCAGTTCACGTAAAAGTGATTCCACTGCACTACTTGATATTCGTCCCTGAGCCTCAGTGGACTAGGATGAAACGTAAGATTAAAGAACATTTGTTAACTGAAATGGAACCAAGTGATTTGGTTTCATGGGTACATATACAATATGATCAAAAGCTCAGATGAAATCCACAATGAATCATTGTGGGATGCCTAATAGGAAGCTCATATTAGCTTGAGTCAAGTACGGCAAACCTACCGTCACAAAGTCAAGATAGCAGTTAGCTCTTGGAATCAATCATCCTGAGCTTCCAACGTTCACAGAAAAGTAACATTTTATTTGTGTTTGCGTCAGTTAAAATACATGGAAATCTGTAGAGAGGCATTGGAACAACAAACATTGTATTTTAAGCCTGCCCGTCTGAAAGTTGTAGAATAAAAATTTTCCGTTACGACATCGATATTCAGATCCTTAGCATTAGTTCCATTAGTTCGTTTTTCCCATCTATTTTGCACTAGCCACCAACCTGTACACTGTCTATTAAGGAGTTGACTGGTTTTCATTTATTAGTGCCTTTGAACCAGTGAGTTATGGAGATATACTGTGGTAAAACTTTTCATAGTCCATACTGCCACCGTAGTAAAAAAAATCATCCAAAGATCCCTTTAAGTAACTGCACGTCTGAAATGTGTGATATAGTGCAGCAAGGGGATTCGATTTCCGTGAACTAACCACCCAAAGCTGGATGACTTCTGGTATATAGTTACCCTTTCTACTACTTACAAATGTTCTGTGTAAGTATAATAAATCAACCTGAGTAGATGACGTCATTTTGGAGCAGGCTTTATGCGTACTGATGACGACAAAATCTCAAAGCTGCATATGATTCAATCTAGGCACACCTGGGTCCAGTTGAAAAACAGTATCGCATCTGCGACAGAAGGGTAGTGAGTTTGGTTGCGCCTAACACTACAACGTACAAATCCGATAAAGATAACACGAGTGAGAGTTGAAACAGCCAGATTCAAAGACAACCCCATCGATCAGTCATTAAGTTTTATGATAGGCGCTATAATCCGCGACTCTGTGGCACAAGCGCAAAGTTAATGTGACGTGGTGTTCGCAGAACTGATCAAATTCCTTGCAAACCTTCGAGGTGGTATCATGCAAGCAGAATGGATCGCAGTGTCATTGCATGAGCTAGTGGATCGAACAAATGGTGTTTACGCAGTATATAGTGTCTGTCGAACTAGTGCGATATAATGATTGTATGCAGAACCGCTTTTAACTACGTGCACCACAGATACTTGAGGTCCCTCCAGGAGGTTTGTCCGTAAAAGGAGCAAAATCAGACGAAAGAACAATAATACAGCTCGTAGATTCATTGAGTTTCTATTCAAACTAGATTGTAACCGTTCAAGGGTTAAATTTAAGAGATATTCACCACATAGATATTGGTAGCCGCATAATTTGCCATCAACCAAAGGAAACTACGCCACCGACATAATTAACAACATCTTTGTTTAGATATTTTGATTTACCTCGTTTATAATGAATATGTACTTTATGAGCTACCGCACATTAATCGGCACGTATTTAATGAAATCACCGGAAAACCAACTAGTATGCCCGAAATGCTTAATCCATGAGGCTAAACCACCAAATTTCCATAAGTAGACATTGGCACAAAGCAGTTCAACAAGGTGCGATGAAGAGTGTTTGAATTTACGTTACAACCCACTCGGACATGTTATGTTTGGAAATTTGAATCATAAGTATGATGAGTTGATGCAAGTATTTAAAATAAGTTACAGGTTCTTCTATTAAGTACTGTAGACACAGGTAGCGTCTAACCTGTTGAAGCCGTTTAAATGTATTTGCTTACCTCATCCACGTTTTAAGCTGTGATCCAGTGGGTCGCCGTGGCATATTACAGTAGCCACTAACTGGTACAACATTAATAGATTAAGAACAAAAAAAATGCACTTAGGTAACTACAAGTGGGCATAGACTGTTTTCTGCAGCTTAGTTGTGACCACGACTTAACTTGCTTTTCTGAGCCACATGCAAAAATATTGAGCAGAATACCTTCAGCAGCCTGTGCAAACAGAGCAAATCCAACTATATAGAGTCAGAATTGTGGTCTTGCTAATAGCTGTTTTTAGAATAATATGCATGCATTATTTGCCTTGATTTCTTCAAATTAATTTGCGTACAAACCTGCACAAACTCACTATCACACTCTGCTACAATTTTTCTGGGCGGGGAGTAAGAAACACATCGTCTTTCTCCACAGTCATGGCGCTCGAGGATTGACTGTGGAATAGGACAATTTTTACTCCCGTATGTAGGGGAAATATTTCGCTAAACATCATGCAATGGACCATACACGCCAATATCATGTGACGAAACGTTATCTAGTGAATAATTTATTATCTCAGATGCAGAGTTGTCAGTTCCCGTGAACAACATATCAACGGACATTGAAACGCTTGGTTGCATCTGCGAACCACTGGGCCGTAAGATTCAGGTTTAAAAGTAATAAATATTTATAACTAACGCTACGGTAAATATTCTGTTGCATTATGAAAATTCTGCACTATCTGGAATTTCTCTTTTGAAACAAGTATAACGGTAGTGAAAAAACAAGATGTGGTTTATTAATGGAATAATTGCATTCCTGCCCAAGCAAAACCGAACTGACAAAAATTGCAAATTGATGCAAATATCATCTACAACCCTCGACATTATCGATACTGGAACACTGCAGTCATACGTCGTAATTGCCCACGATTGGGTTATCAAGACTGCATTAACAGTGCGAGGAAAATAACCAACGTAGAAAGCGCTGCCAAGTAAACCGAAGTTTCTTTAATATTTGATCACATTATCATTTATGTACTAAGTATACTAATTTCTGGTCTCATATATTCATATGAGTTCGTTTTGCTCGCAGTGCAAAAGTTGTATAATTCAATAAATCTGAGGCCAGTTAATGCAGAAAACCTTTTAATCTCATCTGATGGCGTGTTATTTTGCTTGATGGTCTATATTTGGCATACGCTTCGTTCGGTAATCTGAACAGGACAATCCCTGGATCTCCATTAGTGGCAACAAAATCAACAAATTCTAAGCTGCGATACTGATAAACACAGGACAACACACTTGTTGATAGACCGATGCCACAATAGACAAAAGAATTTATACGGGTTTAAAAAGCTAATGCTTAACACGTCCCGTAGGATGGTTATGGGATAAAGTTCACATTATAAAACCTTTTAGCGGAATTGGTTTGACATCAGTGAACTCAGTAAAGTATACGTAGTATACACTGTAAATCCAAGGTGAATCCATGAGAAATGACGGCAACGTGGATGTTGGTAACAATCGTGTCTCCTTCTGGTGTACACATATATGAGGTGAAAAAGATGTAACGAAATCTATGCTTTGACCATCAGTGAAATCGCTTACATACACTTGTGTTTATCCATGGTTAATGGGTCATGTTAGATAGTGCAGCGAACTATATGCATAGTCAAGCCTGGACTTGAACTCTGCCAACATGGGAGCACATTTGACCGGTTCAACTAGGGCCTTCCACGTACGGCAAACGCGCATGGAATAAACTTCCGACAGCATTCTAAATGACCATGCTGCTGTGACAGCTTGAGTTGGTTGTCTCGCAAATTGCTGTTGTGACTGAGCTCTAATATAATGAATTGGTGTAATTCGAAAATGGGCTGCGACTGGTAGCGGCGGATGCCTTCAGTTCACTCTTTAAAGCACAGGGTTAGGAGCTGTTTTAGTGTGTTCAACGTAAACTGCATCTTTGGCAGAGATTAAACAAGCTGCATGGGTACAAGCAATTTATTGCTTGGCAGAAGCCCCAAACATGTTTACTCCTAATCGATAGCCCTTACATATTTTACTTGAAGCACTTCATCACAAGTTTTCGACTGACACAAAAATGAGACTAAGTTGCGTTGAAGAAGCTGCATCTCATAGTGCTTTCGATGGCTTACTCAGTCCGCAAGATAGCCAGAAAAGAGTGAAATGTACTACAACCGGAACGTAAACGATTTTTCCGGTTAATATACTTATAGTATCACTGGGACTAAGTACATTTTCTATGAGACACCTTTACTAGTAAGTTAATGGTACCACTAAGGCTTCACGAATTACAAACTCATGAATGCAGCCCTCATGAAGGGCCTTTCAAATTTACCATGTCTTTCTACACTCCCTACTTTAAGATATCCGAGTAGTGGTTGTCAACGTGAAGATGATCAGTAAATTACCAGCGTTTCTCCACCATTATCCTGAACTATTTTAGCATTTTCCATTTCCCCCACCTTGTAGTATAGCAGCGTACAAGGTACTTTAGTCAATCTAATACACCCCCATGTCGCGGATTATTTATTTCTTGAAGAAATCTGACGGATCCACGTTTCAGTACAAGCAGCAAAGCAAAGATGAAATGTTACCAAATGGCGCTTCACTGTTTGAGCTGCAACATGTTAACTGAACCCAGCAGCATCTCTCCAATCCATTGATTACCTTGATTTGGTGTGGCCAGGTGGGAGCACAGCATATAGGTATTCCAGCGATTGCTGCGTGGATCTATGAACGAAGTTGGAAGATGTCATACATGAACTCGGCATCCAGGGGAACGGGATCTAACCAATGAGAACAACAGTTCCACCTAGTCAATGCAGTACGCTTAGTAGCAGAGGCTGCCATTTGATAAACGGTTTACTAGTTAAAAATTTTAATCTTCAAAACCATGCAGGTTTGGAAGACATGCTGTCTTAACAATAACGAAAGCTTAAGTACCTTACCACCTGTAGCGTATACACTTGTATAGATATTTTATCTGCATGATCTCTAGGAGTGATGGTATGTGTCGAGCGATTGTGGCTGTACTTGCGTGTACCCACGGACGCCGCGGACTGTTGAATAATGATAACGGATTCCACTTTTCTTCGTGACTACTTTGTTATACGTGAGTTTTCTGTGTGAATGTTGCACCGATATTTTTCTTTAGGTATGTTCTTCAATCTATGCAAATTTGATGCATCTTATCT